TCAAAAGTGTTTCCTGCAAAGTACTATAATATGTACTTTGCTGGACTTAGCTAGACGCCTCTTCTATGGATACGCTTGGCAGCTACGGTCGGAGTTTAATATATGACTATTTTTGCAACAGACAAATAGTAATACATAGAAGCAAATTAGAGGTATCTGGGTTAATAGCTGTCTTTATAAGACGCAGAACTATATGACGGCATGGGGCGTATTTACGGGTTCTTGATGATACGACACCAGAACACATATTGTATTTATGTCTAAGCTCGTTCAGACCTAGACTTAAGTTTTTAGGGTCACCCTTCTTTAAGACATTATGGCCAAACCAATAAAGAGACCAATTATACCTAAACTACTTTATGGCTGTGTTACTTTTGGCAATGCTGTAATTTGAATAACTTTTTTGAATAACTTATTATCAGTATTTGAAGGACCTCTTATCACAGTGGACCATCTAGCTGACCACAAACTCTATTGAATAAAATTGCTTTAAACGCTAACTGGCTTTGATCAAGCAAAGAAAAAGAAGGAAAGAAGAGAATTTTGAGTTACTAATCGTGCAAAAAAACATTTTCCTTTCCCATACATTTTGACTTGCCATGTGCCTGGTCACTAAGAAATTGATGGCAGCTAGTCCGCAGTTACTTTCCAAGAAGTAGAGCAGCCACTCAATTTTGTAAACTATTGCCTTATTGTAGAATAGATTGGTCCACAACAAGTTTGTAGTCAAAAGAAGTCGCTACTGACGCTTCTGGTAAGCATCAAACTGTGGTTCAAAACAAAAAATGTATGTGTCTTCTATACATTTAAGGTTGCACCTCAGTAGAACAGAACCGATATTGTTAGCGGCTTATCTAACAGGTCATCATGGCCTACGTTATCATCTAAACAAGATGTGCATACTTGAGGAAAGAAAATGTCGAATATGTTCTAAAGGCGGTTGGGAGCTTGCGTTCTATTCTTGTGACTGTCTAACCCTGATCTGGGTCAAGACGACATCACTGAATATATACAGAATATTGTTTGTATCATATTTTTTCATTTGCAATTAACAGTAAAGCTACTTTGTTCGTATAAGTATTAGCTCTAATTTTACAAAGAAAAGTAATAATAATTGTTAATAAATTAAGACATACCAACTCATAAGGATTTAATTTGATATAATACCATGAATCATTAAATTAAAAAATCATCAAAACCAAATTGATTATCAAGAGCAATTAACAAAAACATTAAACTTATGATCCTTAATTTCTACGAAAATTGTTATTCTGCGCAATAAAATTGAATGTGCTTAATGTAGTTAATATATTTAACAATTTCAACTTAAAGGTTAAATACCGAATTTCGTTTGTGTAACCCAAAGGGCTTCATTACGTACTTCATTTGTATGGCGGGTATTCTAATCTAATCTAACCACTTATATAAAAGCTTGCAAAAACCAATTTTCCTTCTAGAAACACACAAAAGTACACAAAAAATACTTAAGCAAATAAAAGAAAATATGCCCACTTCACTCTAGGCGCCACATGATCTATGGAAATTTATCCTGTTTTTATAAAAAGATGAGATATTATGATACGCTGGCAATTTAGCTAAAATCAACAGTAGCGGCAGTTTCATTCAAGTAAATAATCCTATCAACTTGTGTGTTTAACTACAATGAAACCAGGAGTAAAGTTGAATATGAAGATTTCTGCACACATATATACAAATATTGCACAGTACAATATATATATGTATATGCACCATTATAGCACTATGATAGACAAGAACATATCTGCTTTCAAACAGCAATGAAAACACATAATATGAAGCGCAGACCGTGCGTTGTAATGTTGCTAGAGAAACGCTGCAGGTCGTAAATTTTTGTTGATAAAATATTTATTTTTGATTATCAGCAGCAAATAGTAACGTGATTTGAGTTTTTTTCTTCTCATTTAGTCTATGTAAAGATACTGATTTCAAAAGGCAATAAATTTAACGCATAAATAGAAATTTTGTAATAAAAAGTAAGCGTCGTTTGTGATTTCTGTGCTCCAATGAAACGCACGTATGTGCTACGGTGGCGTATACGCAACATTGCCGGAATTTGCGTATTGTTCTTTTTGATATCCTTGATATCCTTGCAGCTATCGAAATTAATAAAGCAAAAACCATGGCATTCTCACGTGCGATTTCACTTCAATTTCCTATTTTGGAGTTATTTCCATCTATTTTTGCCGCCACTCGCAAGTGAGGCTTTTGTCGATGACTTGTCGTTGTAAATGTTTTGGTAGATGTTGTTGCCTTTTACAGTCCCCCATGGAGATCTATGCTCATATCAAAACATTTTTGTCTATATACAGAAACAAAAGCTGTTTTCGTTTTTTGTATAAAACGTGAGTCTACACTTATGTCTACTCACGCCAAAGAATATTTTGTGTGTTATAGGTAGCTTAAAATTTTTTTTTAATGATTGAAAATGTTTACACTTATATATATATATACTTATATATATATGACTATTTATTAACCATTGGTGCGAATCTAGTATTAAGTTTAAATTCTTTTTTATGTCAAAGTCAATTATGACGAAAGAAATTGTTTTCTGATTAGAACCTGTTTTTTAATAAATTAACAGTAGTGAATTATAACAACAAAATTTTATTATTTTTAATTAATTGAATTTTTGGGTGATCATAGAGCTGTTTCGAGTATTATCAGGTAACTATCAACAGTAGTTTTGAAATGATTCTTTCTATTTAATAATTCGTAAATAATTTTTTGAGACTGCAAGAACCAAGCGTTGAACTCGTGCCCTGCCAAATTTGAAACTCAGAGTCAGTGTTCATTAGCCAACGGACTCTAAGCCGTACTTGACTTATATGTTTCATCTTGTAGTTATTGATTATTTGGTATTTATTAAAGCATATGTGAACTTAAGAAGTATATAGAGTTCATTAAAAATTTGCTATTTGTATATAGTTATTGCTTTATTTTTTTTTCTTTTGTGTTTGTTGATCTTTTATTTTTTTCATATCTATGGAAGTTGATAAGAAAACGTATTTCTAACATATATGGTGTAATATTACTCATTAATTTCTACACTACTGAGTCAGAGACAATATTAATAAATGTTGTGTTGAAGTTTAAGGATAAATAAATAATCTCTTAAGTAACATTCAATGTAAAAATAGGGTCTTGGAAATCTTTTGTGCTCACAATAATGCTGACTTCCCTATAATTATATTGCAAAGACATTGAAAGACTCTTTACCAAAGCGTCAAGATTTATATTATTAAAAGGTATGGGTATAAGACTAAGTTGAAAATTATTATAATTAATACTAAATTTTATTTTTTATTTGATTGGGTATTTAATTTAATTTTTCAATAACATATAGTTTTTTCCAAAGTATTGGGTTAATGTAAATAAAATATAGATTTTAAGATTTAAAACTTTTAATGGACTCTTAAAGGTCCATTAATATATAAAAGTGATTAAAACATAAAAAATATTACAATTACAGTTATAAAGCCATATAAAGCAATTTCAATCAATATGTGTATTGGACCTTCCTTTAACAGCCTGCTTTAATTTTTTTTAATTTTAACAGTATTATATATAGTCAAAGATTACTATGAATTTGTTTAATTTTCAGCCAATAAAATGTTTATGGCTTTTTATTATAATTATTGAAATGGGAAATTGATTTAATAGATTTATTGTATCCTTGTACAAAAAGGCTTGTAAACTAACTTAAATAGATCTATTGTTATTCTTTAAAATATTCTTTGGTTATAGTTTTAAGATATTGTTTAAGTAACTGAAAGCTAGTTGAATTCACTCCACTCCATTTAGGGCAACCGAAAGATCCAAATGAAAACCAAGGTTAAGTCTTCGAACTATATTTTACAAAATTTTTCGACATTCTATAATCCTACCTTTGCAAGGTGCTACTTTAAAGAAGATAATTAATTTAAACTTGAGTTTATTTTGATTTCAAAAAAATTTATTAGCTTTTTTTATTAATCTGATTAAGCTGCTCGAAAACCATCTGAGATCAGCCCTTTTACTTTTGCTTGTAACTTCGTAAATGTTTATATTTGACATTAGCAGATAGTCATGTATTGTGATAAGTGAAGATAGCTAACATCAACTAATCTTCTCGGTGTTCACATAACAATCTACTTAAATATGTAACTAACTTGACCATAATCAATATTATTAATATTATTCGGTAATATTATACGACTTGTGACCTGTATTAGATCAAATAGGCATCACGATAGTGACCTATGGCAATGAATAATAAATCTTATTCAATGACATTGCTTCTTTATGAATTGTATTATTTCTTGAATTGGATTATTCTAAACAAAAATAAAGTTTTTAATTTAAAAGATGAAAAAATAAAAGAAAGTTTATAACACGAAGAGCATATAGACTACACCCACAGATTGCGCGTTTTTCGATGCAGTAAATTGTTTTCTCTTTAACAAAAATATTAGGAAATAAATTTTGTATTCAACGCTCGCCTGAGGCTAAATTCGTTTAGTGATTTTTATTTTTGGTTATATTTTGGTAGGAAGTACACACATATGAGCATCATAACTTGCTAAGTGTAGAAATGGAGTATCTCATTGGAAATATAGCGATACAAAAATGTATCCAACCAAACGTTTAAGGGCAAAATATTATGACTTTATGCCGTCGTGGCCATAAACATAATTTTTCGTTATTGCTGCTACGTTATGGCTCCGTATGACGTAAATGCATCCCCTTAAGTAGACACATATGCAGTATGGGTCGAGATTTACATTATCGATGTTATCGCTTTTATTCTTACAATTTGGATATAAACTTTTTCGGAATATTGAGTAAAAGATGTTGTATAACAAAACAAAATATATGAAAAATTAAAAAATAATTACTTATATTTTATAACCTTGACATCTGAATTATATAAATAACAAAATGTGTACTATAATTATATTCTTCATACGTTAAATACTTACGAATTCAGCTTGTGGACTTGCACCTGCCCAATTTTCTGGATTTGTTGGTATAGCTTCTGCTAAGCATGGATCAAAGCTGGACGGCCGTTTTTTTACGAAATCAACAGGCAGACTGTAATCATCACAGATGGCAATCTATAATTAAGCAAAGAAATTAAAAAAAATTAATATAACTAATTACTACTTGTTTAAAATATAATTTCCATTAAAATAATCCTTTAGTCTTAACATTAAGTCACGCATAAAGTAACTTTAGCAGAAGGAAGACATCTGCAGAAGCTTAAGTTTAACTGGAATGTTTGGATTAAGTATTGGAGTGAGTGAGATTCTGAAAAGCAGTTGAGGATTGAAACATTTGCTGAAGACAAAATAACTTCAACAACCATAAATGCTTTCCCTTTTGTTGGAACTGTGGAACAATACTGAGGGAAAAGTGGCAAAAGTAAGAGTTAGGAATGTTTTGTGTCTATTGTTTCGGTTGTAAAGAATTTTCATTTTCTAAAAAGGTTTATGCTTTATGCTTGTAGTTTTGCTATTTATTCATGATTTTATAGAGTGAGTTTGCTATATATTTGCAAGACTTCTATAAAGTAACGATTATTGCAGATGGCAGAAAACTTGTTGACAAACTTTTATGTATTGTAACCAAAACAATGCTGTACTTTTCTTTGAAATTCTATAACAAAATAAATTTAAAGCATTTTTGTTTCAAATTTCACAGTATTTAAAATACAAGAAATAAAAAAAAAATTATTAAATTATTCATAATTTGAATGAAACCGATTGCTATGTTTAAATTATGGAAAACTCAAAAATGAAGGTTAGCGTTGGCTTGAACAGATAGTTTAAATACTCATATTAAACCACTCAGAGTTAGAAAATACTTAGTATTCACAGGAAACTCATAACATAAAGCTTTAAAAAAATAGTCATTGAGACATTAAGCTTTAAAATTTTTTAGTCAATAAATAATATTCAAACTAATAAAACGTATCTGGACATAAATATAAAAGAGAACGAGAGAGAAAGGGGAGAGAAAGGGGAAAGAAAGAGAGAGAGTGACAGCAAGTCCAACCATACAAATACATGAACCAACAACTGATTTAATCACCCAAAATTAATTTAATCATTATCATTACTATCACTCAGACAGTTGTTATAGTTATGGAGGATAAGCAACTAGCTCAAAATATAATTACATTTTGAAAAAAAAACAGTTTTATCGAAATATCTGAAATATATAGAATATATTAATTATATTTTAAAACAAACTGATTTACTGATAACTATCGCATGCAAACAACCTTAATAGGACATCGAACAAAAGTAGATCATAAAGTACGTGAGTTTTGAAATGAAATCAATTATATCAGAAAAGTAGAGATATACATATTTAAAATTTTTTTTATATAACTCTAAGCTGTTCGGTTAATGTTCTTCAAATTTTTGATTCATTTTTTGGAACTTCAGAAATAGGTATCCATAACTTTTGACCCATTTGAAAGCAGTTGGGTCAGATAGGTATTAAATTCTAACACTAATGGTATTGAGAAAGCAGCAATAAATACATTAATATTAATATAAAAATAATATGTAATATATATATGAATATATATATGTAAAATATATGAATAATAATATTTAAAACACGAGTAAATCTTTTCTTCAAATAACACATATTTTAATAAATTAATCAAGCTTTTGTTGTTACTTCTTTTTACTATTCGAACCCTTCTAGTTTCTTTTCGTCATTAAACGCGTCACTTTTAAAATTTGCCTTAAATTTGTAAAATCTTAACTATACTTCATATAGAGTTATTTATTAATTCTTAGCAAACTTAGTTCTAATCAGAACCGTATATCAGAAATGAAACTTTCTATCTCCAATTCATACTCTTACGTTTTGAAACCGAAAAAACGAACTGGGATCCCCAATAGTGCAGGTTAATTATTACCCTCTGCTCAAAAAGTATCCGGATTTTGTTGTTTGATAACTACTCCTTAAGTAATAGACCTTTTTTTTGCTATGTTGGTACACCATTTCCTGACATATGGTTCAAATTTAAGCGCCATCTGTCAATTAGTTTGTTTACAGCAGCTATTACTGTGAGACTACCTCAAGTGCATTTAGCGATTTTTACTATGGACAATTCTTGTTGTACGCGATTTTTTGACCAAACACGGTGCGACTTTTTCCTGTTCCCGAAACTCAAATTACCACTTCGCGGTAAGCGTTTTGAGTCGATTGAATCGGTAAAAGAGAATTCGCCGAAGGAACTGAAAGCCATACCTGCACGGGCCTACGAAAAGTATATGGAAGAGTGGGTTGAGCGTTGGCGTATTACACATACGCTTCAAAAGGAGCATATTTTGAAGGAGATAAAATAAATTTGAAATAAAATTTAAATTTGTGTGTTTTATTTACAAAACCCGAATACTTTTTGAGCAGAAGGTATCAACCAACACCAAACAAACAAATACATAATGTAGCTCTCGGCAAACGAAAAATTCGTCAACTGATTTCATTTGTAAACTAGTATGTTTGAACTAAAAAGAATTTAAACAAACTCATCGAACTCATCGATTTTAGTATCTCTTCTATCAATTCACAAACGTGTGTCTTCTATCAAGTCGCCAACATATAGACGACCTTAATGTACCGATTATATTCTAAAATAAAAAATTGCGGTACTTAAACTCCCATTTTATTCAATTGACAGAAAAAATGCCAATTACCAACAAATAAAATGTGTCATTCTGCACAACACATTAGTTTAAGTATAAAATTATTTCATTTTAATGCGGGTCTAATTATATTTCTTTATAGTCTACTGACAATGATCGTCAAATAAATGCGTTTCGTCAATTAAGTCAGTCTTTTGTCAAACCTTTTCCCTATACTGGATATGGAAGCACTTAAAAGCCAGTGCGATACTTGAATAAAGAAATAAAATGTCACACAATACTAAACTAAAAATATCTTTGGTATATTTTCTAAGAGCTTGTCTTTTCTTTCATACTCGTTCATGTTAGTTTTATTTTAATAAGTATCTTTTTCACTCTTCTCAGCAGAACACTTTGTGTGCAGTATCCATTGACGTGTGAGATATGTTGTCGTTCTCATGCCTTCGAAGCTTTGACGTACCTTAATGAATGTATCTGCATGAATGAATGTGCCTAAATGTGCTGTGAGTGCTGAAATTTGACGCTGGCGTTTCAGAAGTGTCATTTGCATTTATTTTTATATTTTTGGGTTTTATGAAAAATGAGAAACTGTACCTTAGAAGCAAAAAGTTCATATGAAAATCGAGAATTCTAGTGTTTTTCTTTTGTGGTCGTTGTTTTGGTTTAAGTGCTACCGCCTTCGTTAGAAATAAAAATGTCAACTGTCAATGTGACAATTTCTTCTTACAATTTTTACTTTTAGGCTTTTGAGTTATTTTGTTAAATTTGAACTGTTCTTATATAAAATATTGTTTAAATAAGTTATTTTTGGGAAAAGTATGATTCGATATATATGGTAGAAACCGCAAAGTTGTGGCAAGTTGTCACTTGAATGGCACTATTATTTGAGTAAAAGAAAAAACTTTGCAAAATTGTTTATTTTCTGATACTTATTAAAACTTTTTAATAATATTTGTTATATATCCGTATCCATAAAGAGATCTATTGTATCCCCTGCATAAATACGGAGTATTTCTCTGGATACTCTGAGGTCGAATTTTTCGGCTTTCTCAATAGATTGTAGTACTGAACCAACTTTATCGATATTTCTTCATCTGATATGAAATGTCCACCTAGATATTTTTTTCGCTTCTCCATCAGTGCCAGCAAATTCCAACTTGTATTTCGATATTGCATTTTGAGTTCCATTGAAATGAGTTCTCAGTTCTTTAGGGTGATAATGTAACCCACATTGTTTGTCAGAATTCCTGTAATAATTCTTAAGTTGTTCTTACTTGCATACAATAGTTAAATTGTTTTAGATTGAAAATCCATATAAGCGATTTCAATTGATTACTATTGTGATAGTAAATTGTTTCAATATAATTTTTTTTGGTTCTCCTCCTCGTTCGAAAGCAGTGAGAAGCAACTACCTTCTTTTAGGCTTTGAATAGTTCTGGATTTACAGAACAGAAATGGTGCTCCTTTTCTGACAAATTTATCTACAAATGTTTTCCCAAAAATCCGTAAGGGTCCTATAGGTATTAAGGTTTTCAAGATACTTCATCAATATTATTGAAGTCTTTTGCTATGAATTGCTGACTGACTATCAGTTAAAATGATTATTCTATCGTTTTGATGATTACCTTCAAGGTTTGGGTAAACATAATTGTTTATGTTACAAATTTCTACTTAAAATATAGTTTTGTTCAAGTTCGACTATTTAAGCCTCGACCCATAAACCCTTACTACAACTAATTCTTTAGTAAGAGAACCACCACTGTATGTTACTATCAGTATATATATAACTTTGATTTACCTCTGTCCTAGATATGCCATACCAACTTTTCTAATTACTGCATTCAGTTTTATTTTATTAAATTAAACTTTAGTTTCATGGTGTCTCGTGGTATTAAAGCTTCAGAAGTAGCTTTACCGGAAGCTACTTCTGTTTCTGCAAACTGCTTTTGAATAAGACAATTACCCGCGTATCATCGACGCTGTTTCGATATATCTCTGCGGACCGAGTTAAAAAATTTATATGAGATTTAATTCAACTCTTATGTTGCTGAGATGTCAATTAAGCCTTCAGTAGCTAGTCAATAGAATGATTGATTACATTATTCAAAATTTACTGTAATTATTTGTCGATCTAAATTAAATTTATCAAGTGACTAGAAAAATGAATAATTATTTCGTTTTAAATTTAATTCACGGATATAAGTGGGAAAATCATAATTAGATTAGCATCAGATTAGTAAGCAAAGTGTCAGATCGTTACTAAAACTTCTTAAGACTAAATGAATTACATTTTATTGATTTGTAGTACAATAATTCCCTTTGGAAATGTGCCCTGCTGCCTTACGCCAGAGAAACGTTTAGTGAGAACCACGGCAATGATAGTCAAGTCTATACTAATAGTCCCTGAAGTCTCTACTTATAAAAATGTCTAATTCAGTGAGGTTAGAACTTGGTATTAAGCTAAGCCCTTTACAATATATTGCAGTGTTTTTAGAAGCCGGGAAATATGTGAATGAATCGCTGATTTGTATGCCAGGAACAAGATTATGCAAACAAAACAATCCCTGACCTCATTTTTGATTGAAAATACCAAACCATATTCTGAGGCACAGATCCAAATGAAAACGGAAATAACGGTACAACACATAACCGAGTACTGTGAAGTACTGCTTTTGCAGCTGACGCTTCAGTAATGTTAAAGCATTGTCTTCAGCATAATGTACTTAAACTGTGTAAATGTCCATCACTAGAACTACAGTGGAGATTACCATTTGGTACATTACATTTATTCATAAGATTTGTAATAAGCTCAACTGGATTTTATGCATGATAATTACTGTTTAATACACTCTTTTTCAGCTTATATATGATATAAACTTATAAAGTATATTTATTTATTGAAATGTTTGAATGAACTGCGAGTCATCAGATTATACAAAAGTACTGACATACTTACAAACTCTATAAGAGAACTCTTCTTGCCTTTTTCATCTACCTATCAATTTTTCATCTGAATAATCAA